CTGTAGGCTACTTTTTGTAATTTCTTTGTTTTTTGAAAACTGTCAGTACTAGATCAAGTGCTATCTGGAGTCTATAAAAGAAACAACACAAAAGTGTTTTAAAATGTTAATATTTGATTTATAAATCAATGAAAATATCATAAGTCAAACAAAGCAAATAAAAGGAGAAAGGATAATTTGCAAATGAAACTAAAAACAATAGAGAAGACTAAGTGAAAGTGTAACAACGGCAAAAATTCCCCTCGGTCTTCAGGGTGAAGTGTGTGTTTTTGTTTGAGTGGGATGTTTGAGAGATGGTCCTGGTGGAGCAAACACGCTCAACCAACCGAGTCAACGCTCACATTGCTCTCTCTTCTCTATTCTCTCTTCCTTGCCTCAGCTTTCAAAGGCCAAAGATTGTCTCCCTCAAGGGAGATACAGGGGAAAATAACACTGTTCAGCGTTCTTTTCCACAACTGACATTTTTCAAATAGAATTTGATATTCCTCCTTTTAAAAATTAACAAGAAACATTTTGTTGGCCCATCAGTTGTTTATTTTTTAACAGCACAACCTCAATCTTAAATATATTTGCTTAGAGTAGTTTAGCTATGTGGCAATGAGTAAAAAAGTTAAATATGTGAACTACCTAACATACCACTTTTGATGCATGATGGCGGCAGCATCATGTTGTGGGGGTTATTTTCTTCACTAGGGAAAGATAAGTTGTTAACAGTTGAATGGGAACAAATAAGAAGCTTCAGACATGAGAATTCTTGAATAAAACCTGTAAAGAGTTAGAGGTTTACCTTTCTGCTCAATAAAGAACCTAAACATAAAGACAGACCTTGTGCTGTTATGTGTTTGCTTCTCATGCATAATACTCAAAATAAAAAATGTTTTTTTGAGTGAATAGATGTAGGACCATTTATTTTGTATAGCAAAGGTTTGCAAAGTGCTGTAATGTAATATAAACTTAAGTTGACAACAATTTTTTGAAAATACATTTTCTATCTAATCTGCATTCATTTTACCTTACTCTAGGAACTACAGAGGTCAATGCTACAGGAAAATCCTTCACAGTAAGAAGCAGCCTCTTGTTTCAAGTGGACAAACGGGATGATGGAGTCGCATACACCTGCAGTGTGGAACATGTGTCTCTGTACAAACCGTACATGACAACTGAGGTCCTGGAGGTTCATTGTAAGTTTTATCATTGATAAAGAATGATTAAGTCTGGCCATTGAAAAGGAATACAAACAAACTAATAAAGGAGCTTAAATTTATGTCTGCATGCGTAGCCCTGCATTTGTTATAGATTAGTATAGGATTAGTTGGCAGGTAAGGTATTACAAAAGTACAACAAATGTACATGAATACATACTAGAGCGTAAAGGTATAGAGGACAATCTTTTATTTCTGGGTGGATCATCTAAATAAGTGGTCCTCTTAATTGTCAATTTTCTGGTGATATGTTTACGTTAGGCAGTCCTATGTGCTCGCCCGTTGGCTATTTTTTTCTGTGCATGCGCACTTTCAGGTGTAAATCTGTGCTGAGCTATGCTTTCAGACAGTCATTGAAGCTCATCTTTGTTACCACGGTTCTTTGACAATGGTCGAGGTTCGTAACAGAAAAAGTGTCTACGAAGTATATGAAAAGAAAAGAAAGGTCTCAGAAGAGGTAGATATATCCCAGAATGCTTTGTGCAGAGAGCTCTCCTCACAAAGCAGTATGGGATTTGCTGTCACAGCGATACGCTGTCGCCATACGCTGTCTCAACCTGAGAGCAGCGACAAAGAGGGCGCAGGCACCGCGCAGTGGGGGAGGAGTTACGTGACCAATAGAGCTAAAAGCAGTGATCATCAGTGATCAGTGTCTGAACCGTAAGGTTACTGAGTTCACTATTAGGTCCACTATAGACTCCCCGCTCTATATAGTGACTGAGGGATTTAGGGGTTATGGCGGACTTTCAAGCACAGTAAGCTTGTATGAGCTTTGAGAACTGCAGAGAACTTTTAAACAGAGCTTGCACAAGAAGAAATTGGCTAATGCATGCTCTCGCAGGCGTGGAGAAATCAGGTCTTTTAAAATAATTTACGAAAATCCTCCACAATACCTTTAAGCTTCCTATAGGTTAAAGAGCTAACTACCTTTGCATTATTTTTGGTGTTAATTTCTTGCACACATAGGTGTTACAATACTGCTTTTATTAATTTATAAATTTTTTGCAGATGCTCCACAACTGGAAATCACACATTCACTGATAATTCCACAGGAAGGACAATACTTCAAACTGGAGTGTGTTTCCATAGGCAACCCAATGTAAGTTGGATTCACGACTGCACTTTGATCTATTCCAAAATAACTTTGAAAAATAAGAAAAAATAACACGATTTTCTTGTGTTTTCTTTCCCAGACCCGAACCAGTGCTCTGGTCTAAAGATGGAGGAGAGCTGCCAGACATTGAGCGTATGATTGTGGAGGGCAGAGAGCTCACCATCACGACACTCAACAAAACAGACAATGGCACATATCGCTGTGAGGCCAGCAACCATATGGGGACCAGCTTTGCTGAGTATATTCTGTTTGTATATGGTGGGTACTAAACTGAATTCTTTATGTCTATGATTAAAAAGTCATGTTTTTTAGTGCTTAATTGATTTATACTGTATCAGGGGTTATTTATCGGAGAAGTCAAGAGTCATATATCTTTAACTAGCACATGGAAAGTAGAAATGAAAAAAAAAAAGCTGATTATTGGTAAGCATTTTTTTTTCTTTTATGGCAAAAGTGTTTTAGGCGATGTAGGCAACAAATTTCAGAATCTCATAGAAGATGTTTGACGGTCAATGTAGGGAATTTAACAAAACAATTATTTTGTGAAATTGAAATTCAAACTAAGCTGTGTTTAAGCAGCAATAATCAGGTTTTCTGTATTTCATCAATGAATCAGGCATTGTTATGTCATTTCACTTTTATCATGTAGTCATGTATCAAAATGATTGACACTAATGTGCTACTTTTTCCATCTGACATGTTATATTTGAACTACACCTTTTAAAATAGCAATTAGATTCTGACGTGTTGATAGTTTTCTCTCTTGCTTCTTTGTCATGCTTAGGTGTTTCAGGTCATCAAACATAATGATGCTCAAGGAAATACAAACATTTAAATGATTACATTATTTGATAATACGACTGATGCAATACATTAGGATGCACCGTTTATGAAGTTGGACCTTTTTTTTTTTACAGTGATCAGTGGATTTAACCTTCGACTGCTGACATGTTTGCTGTCTTTCACCAGTCTATTTCTTGTTGTAGAATTATTAACACTTGCTTTTACCAAGGAGAGTCAGGCCAGCAATGTTTATATATTGCTCAAAGTCCTTTTTTTGATCTTTTGGAGGAGTGCACTCTTAGGGCCTGATCTCAAAGATATCAAATCAGAGGCACTAATTGGGCGTGTTGCAGAATTTCTACAAATATTGCTGCGTAAATGTTCGTAAATGAGAATGGCTGTCAAAGAAAGATGTGGTTTAAAGCCTAGAATATGGAGGAAATACTAATAACTATTAAAAGAATAATAAATAATATTTACTTTGCACCTCATAGTATTGCTCCATTGATATCCTGTTTTTATAAATATGCACCAACATCTAGGTTCAGTATTTTTCTTTAAATCTGGTTTAGTAGTACAAAAATTTCTGCTAGTTAATAATTTTTGCTGCCCTACATAGATGTTATTTTCTTTATTGGTAATATTCTATTGTTGTTATTATTCACGATCCAAATGCATTTATATGCACACGGAATATCTCCACGTATGCATTTCTTCCTTTGCAGTTGTCACCTCACTTTCAGAAATACTAAAAAAATGTAAAAAATAAATATATAAATAAATTACCAATGTGAGTTTCAGATTTGGAAATTCAATTTGCTTGTGGTAAATTTTTACATTTTATTGCATGGTCTGGTGCCTTCATAAATATGCCATTTTATGACATGTAAACCTTCTAAAGATCAGGCCCTTAGAGTCTTTCTCACGATTAAGTGGTTTTTGGGAAGTTTTACCACTGTTCCTTATTTTCTCCGTCTATGGTTAATATAGCCCCATGCACTACCCTTTTGAAACCGTGCCGAGAATGGTAACCAAGGTAACCGCTAAGTCTAAATGGAAAGCAGCTGAACTGGACTGTGCCAGGCAAACTAACCGCAATAAATCCAGTACTAGTTCAGCAGTAGGCTTGGCGCGGTTCAGTTGTGGCTCGGATCTCTGATAACTAAGAGTGCATGAGCAGACGGCGTTATCTCCTATTTACAGCCAGTTGACTCATTTTGCGGGTTTTCTGGCGCGTCCGGCTTTACATATCACAGATCTCTTCACCTGTTCACAACACAAACTTCTTCTCAGCCTATTAACAATAAAAGGCATCCATAAATGGGATGATGCCTAGAGCGAGGCTCTCATCGAAACCTGGCTGGAATACACTATCCAGGCAGATAACTTCCTGAATGTTATGGTCAACTCCATTTTTGTTTGCGTAATTCCCACCTTGAGAGCTGTAGTGTCGTGGACCACTGAGGAGGTGAGGAACCGTGCTAGCCAGATGTGTAAACGGTCTAAGAACCAAGCTCAGCACAGTTAACTGATTCAAGCTGGGTCCAAAATCGGCAAGAATTTCAAAGGAGTAGTGCAAATCGGGCATATTTTTCAATTTCAATTTCAATTTATCTTTATTGTCATTGTCACAAGAACAACGAAATTTGGATCCATGCAACGAATATGTGGATCCATGGAGTCACTGAGCATTAAAAAATGCTCCTTAACCCTCTTTTAAATAGGTGTCAGCATTGTCTTTTCTCACACTAGGGCATAATGTGTGGGTTCCTTTTTTTTTATTACTTTTTTGTTTTGTTTTATAAGCATACTTAATTTTATCAGACTTAAATATAGAAACTTTCTTGACTACACAACTATGTTAAATTAATTCATTAATTTTCAAGGAATTGTTTTGTTAGATATTAAAATTAGATTAATACTTTAAAATATTAGTTTGTGACTCGACTAAAGCAAAAGAAAAAACGAGGGGGGAAAAAAACATTTCTTAATTATTTCTTAATTATGTGTCACTATAAAAATAAAGAAAAATAAAGCTTTTTGCTTGACATATATGAATGAGCAGATTAATGCACCAAGAAAATATAAACTACTAGAGCCCATTAAGTAGAATATAAAGAAAAGAAAATGTATTTACTCTGATCTTTTTTAGTACAATGCTGGAAAAAAAAACAGATCTGTTTTATCAACAAAACAACTCGCACAGGCTTGAATTTAGTGTGCAAGTCATGCACACTAAAATGGGCTGTGATTGGTAAAAAATTGGCTGCACAAAACCCAGCCTAACGGCTCACTGGAGGTGTATTTAACAAAATCACAGAGAATGAAAGGAGCAGGTAGGCTATCAGGAGCTGAATACGATCAGGGATACTGCTAATCATCCCTAACATTTTGGTGATCTTCAAATTGGTATGATCCAGCAGGGTTTAGAGGAAACTACAACCTGATTAATTGCTATTATTAGAGCAAGGGATCCAGGTGTTTTGTCACTATCAGGATAGAATAAAATGGGATTTTTGTTGTCATGTAGAAAATCCGCTTGTTATAATGTATCTAGGTCTATTTCAGTCTTGCACATTTCCAAAGCTTGCATTCAAGTATCGACTGGCTAATATGGGACTGATGAAGTTCAGTATTAGTGGATAAGGATGTACGATTTAGTTTAATTTCAGCCTAGAAAATTGCATTATCACATGACAAATAACGGGTTGATTAAAAACCAAACACTTTGTTACAGGAAAAGAAATAATACATATTTAGCATCCCATGTTTATGTATAAAAGTATATGAAATAATTTGAAATAAGTAGAACTGGACTGAATACATATAGGGTAGTTTTAGTTTTCATTGTCCTTGATCTTTGTCTTCAGTTTTTGCCAGTTTAATAGTGCAGTAGCAGAGTGAAAAGTCATAAAAGAGCTTACTTCTCTTCATTGGAGTTTTTTTCTTCTTATAAACTATTACTTGATGCATGGCAGCATCTTTGCAAGGTTTAGAAAGGCTTTAGGAAGTAAAAAGAAGGGACATTTTTTTTTTCTTTCAGACATTGCTATCTTTGTGTCCTCCTTCAGCAGACTTATTGAATGAGAGAACAGCAAAGTCTTGTTGGTATGCTGCATATATCCTCCTATATCTGGCTACCTTTTAATTATTTATTTGATCACATTCCAAAGCTCAGTTGTAGCTTTAGAATTTGTATTATTATTTTAAATGAAAAAAATCTAAAACTTAATAAGGGTTTTATATGATTTGATTTTTTTAAGTCTGCATAATCAGGAAGAAGGATGTATTTACCTCACGAGCCCTCGCCTGCAGTTGCAAGAGGAGATGAAAAATTGAGTTAAGCAAGTAAAAGATGTGTTAGACAGGCTCATTTCCAATGATGATGAGACTCATTCTTCAGGGCTACATTGTGATGAGCTGAATACTTGCCAGGTCTTTTCGGATCATCTCAGCCTCTAAACCTAATTTGCTAATGACAGGGAAGCGGAGGAGCTATAAATGTCATCCACCAAGCACAATTTATCACTGTTTGAAAATACCGTCTATAATAAACCTTCTGAAATACAAATAAGAAACATTGCATACAAGATATTTGAGTTGTAGTAACAAAAAAATTGCTTTCCTCAATACAGATGGAGGCCCTAAGAGGCTTAAGTCTAATTTCTTAGCCTTAGCTTCAGTCTTTAAATCTACAGTTTCGCTCTAGTAAGCATGAAAATTGACATCTAAAAACTTAACTGAAGTCAAAATAAATCGTCTAAGCAATATTCAGCATTGTCCTGTTTAGACTTGTTGTCCTTATTGTTGTCTGATATTAACATTTATTTATTCACAAAAATTTATTTTGTGACTTTTACAAAAAATATATCTGTAGATGTGCTTACCTTTGAAATTTACTCCAATAGATTTAGCTCTATTCTGATTTTTATATCTATCTCACTATTTTTTGTTTTTATTTATTTATTTTTTTTCAGTACAGAGATTTCAAAATCAGATCACTGCATTCACAACCGCATTAACAGGTCCACTTACGGTACACCCTCACAGAGGCCTCGACTCAACACTTCATGCACTCACAAACATGTTATTGAGCACCCACTTGATGATTGATGAGCTAACAACTAAGCTATGAGCTAGAAAATAAACTTGTTTCAGTGGATAAATTCAATGTGCTCTCCTTTTTATTTTCCCTTTTTTTACACAAAACTGATTCATTATACTGTTCCAGATTAGTTCAGAATTTACAGGTGCACCTTATCACATTATTTATTTAATATTTGCAAATGACTGCACAAATATAAATGTGTTTGCAGATGTGGAAAATAGCAAACAAACTCTTTGGAGTGTTCTTAAACAGGTTTGCAACAAATAACTAAGCATGCACTCATAAAATCCATGTGCAGGCTTTGGTTTATAAATCCAATTGTTACCAGTACCGTCGAGTTTATGTATTACTTTTAATGATCCAGAAG